CAATACATTACTACGAACGTTTACACTGCTTTGACACAGATACCACATATGCCTTGACTCAATGTTTCCAATGACGGGTACATTGAGTACGGACGAGCTTCTCCGTACGTACAGTTCGCAAACGAGGTACTTCAATCTCTCTCTGACGAAAGGACGAGAGTATTATCTTTGCCATAGTCACCAAGGGTTTTCAACCCGGACCCTCAAGCCTGTTCACTGCCTCGTACGTTGAGTCTGCCAGACAGAACTGAACTGGTACCTATGTTGAGAAGTGGCAATCAATACTCACCAGACTTTATCTTCTTCCACTCAGGCCAGTTTAACGACTAGATCTGAGTGCATTCCAAGCACATACACCAGCGGATCCAGGAAGGCAACTACTAAGGAGCTGCTTTTAGTGTGTTCACTGTCGGAGCGGCGTGATCTATCTTACCCAGCTCTTACGATAATTATATCGTCTTTACTACCCGGCATAGACTAGTCACGCTTTTCATTTTACTCGTAACGTGTCGACTCTAATGTCGATCTTCTTCCTTATTCGCGTGTAATCTTAAGATTAGCATATACAATGTCCCCAGCCGAGCTATGCATTCTGAAAAAATATCCAGCACTATTTCAAAGCGCCTACGAAGTGCAGCTCGTTCTGCAATACTAAAGTATTTACTAGCCGTCCGCTGTCGGAACTATACTGTCTCGTCTCGCGTGCATATTCATTCTTTTCCGTGTCGATACTACCGTCATCTACAGTGTAAAGACCCTACTCCTAGCACAATGCCTAGTCTTCTACCCTCTAGTATATTGTACTTGCGACTTCTCTTATCTCCGGGAGTGACTTGTCTCTTCGTCTGGGTCGTCAATTTTGGGGAAATTGTGAGTGGCTCTGCGTTATCGCAGTACTATTAGGTGAAGTGGACTTTTACTCCCCAATACATCACTTAGAAAGTTAGAGGATAGAGCGCTATCTTCTTATCTTGAGCTCGAAGCTATACGGGCGGCTTAATAGAGTTGAGGTGCGCGATAGATACTGGATTAAGTGCGCTTGGGGAGTATTGTGGATAGAGAGATGGAGTGGGATGACTGAATGGATGGAATGGGGGGGTGAGGGGGGTGGATTAGAGAAGAAGAAGGGAGAGTGAGGAGAGGGGATTGGGAGGGCGGTGGAGGGCTTAGGGAGGAGCTAGAAAAGTATAAGTCAGTTGTGCTACGCTAATAGAGTAACGGAATCGGGATATAGCAACATGTTGTGAGATTTAGGACGATCGTAAGTAACGAGAGATGTGTTTACGGTGTTAGGCCGTTAGAGGATAACAGTGCACACTAGGATGTGGTGGAAAGGATGGAAATAAAGGAGGGGGAAGAGCGAGTAGTCTTACGTTTCTTTTTGATTTGAACAAGCTCTTCTTTGCGCTTTTGATAAGTAGACTTTCTTACCATACGCAAAAATGCTTAAAAATAGTCCATAATCAACTTAGACATATCCTCGCTTTATAATCTCAATGAGCTACTATTCCATTGACGACAAGCGCTACACATTGCTAAGAAGAGGTTCGCGCATCTAACCACATAACTAGATATCTATGCATTCTTGTGCCCCTTTGTCGTGCTGCTTTCGTGCTAAGAATTACTAGGCCTCCGTTTCTTGGACTACTCTAGATACTGCGAACGCGAGGAGCAGACGAAAAGTATGCGCCACCTACTTGGAGAAGCAACAAGTTCTCCCTGGGTTCGTTTATGTCGTTGCGCATGAGTAGTCTCTTTACAAGATATAAAGGCTAAGGTTCGCGGCTCGCGTTCTTGCTCTGATTTAGATTGAGCACTATAACTTCGCTTCTTTTTCTACTTTGCGGCTTCTCCTCCGCCTCGTTCTTGCTGATCGGGGGAGATAATATGAAGATGTGGCTGATAACGCTATATCGGGAATGATATAAATCATGTATGAGGGCTATGTAAGCCTTGGAAGGCTTGCACACTGACGATGCGCAATATGTGAGTGTAGAGGATAGACCAGCGGTCCGTTCATATGTTATATTACTTACTGAGGTAGCATATCTAGGTAGTGGTGTCTACATCTTAGCACCTACACACTCACGACGGCAATCGATCAAATAAGATACGAAAACAGTAATAGTCTAGTCAAGACCAACTCGTCGTAAAGACCGGTGAAATCGTGTTGTTTTCCGAAGGATGAGTAGTGTTTGAGAATTGACGATCTCAATCTTCATTCCATATTTACTTTTGAACCGAAGCTTGTACGGGTAGACGGATCTAGGCGAGATGTCAGGCAGATTAGGTTGGTTACTTCGCTTACTTCTTTCAGGTTTCGGGAGTGACTGCCGTGGTGTGTTGGAAGTAACTTTTGTTGTTTGTGGGAAATTGTAGAAGACGGGATACTTGTCCGTTCGGCCACCGCGGACTCCGCGGGTGGTGCTTCTACCTCGCGAATAAAAATGTAAGTAGATATTTCTTTGCAGTATGCCTACCCCGCTCCAGCAATTGGTGGTTGGACGGCTGTTACTTCCCTGACGAATAGACTTATGATATGGTGGCGTGATTGCTGCATAGGTACCTTGGTAGTCTCAAAGCTGCATTGGTAACTGTGAGCATTCTGCCACAGCCGTCTTGTGGTCCCGCTCATGTTGTGATGATTCGATTGCAACGACTGTAGGTAATACTTTGGGTGGTTGCGCATGTAACCTTGGCATGCCGCTGATATGCGGACAGAGTCTGAACTGGTACGTCTCCATTTGCATCCACGGTTCGCCGATGTGCTCTCCTAGTCATAACGCTTGTCAACAAACCTCTTCGTAATACAAAAGTGCGTCTCGGGAATATCATGGTGCTTTTATCGATGCTTTGTTCAAAAGGAAGATTCGGTATTAGCAAAACGTGGTGGATACACACCATACTTTGCGTACCTGACTGACGAGACGGTCGTCGAATAGCCGGCAACACATGACGTTCAAACAAGATATGCAAAGGCCGTGAAGATCATTCCATGTATAAGCAGTCGGTCTGACGATGTACGCTGAATCTTACCTGGGATGTGCAGCCTGAGCTCAGGGCACTGACTCTTCCCGCGTTGTACCTCGTACGAACCCTCACAATGATGTGCCGGAGGTATTGCCGTATCTAGCTCTTGATCTGCCATCTCACGATACATGACTCAACCAGCATAGACGGATGGCGGATGGCGGATGGCCTTACGGTGTTTCGACAAATCGTAGGGGCAGTCCCTTCTTTATCGGGGGATAGAGTTTTGTCCACACCATGCATGAGACTGCATGATGTCATCGCAGAGAATCGCTTCTTCTTGATCAAACATACATCTCAATGAAGCCATATCGCATGTTGTAGACATCAAAACGCCATGTTCATGCTAACGAGTGACGTTGGCTTCAGTCCTCCGCGGAGCTCATGCCAAGCATCACGAATCTTACCAATGGCGCAGCCGCTAGCGGAGCATGGACGAGGGAAGGTACATACATAGCATTGCCAACGCCCCGGATCTACAACAAGCCTCAACACCATCGCTTATTCACCCATTACCAAGACAGCATCTCACGAACTTTTGAGTTTCTTCCAGTGGGCAATCTTGCTGCCTCCCGAGCCATGACGTGTGGCGTACCTGTGATACGACTGGTGGCAAACCTACTTCTGGAGGCGGGTCCAGCGTGTCTCATTCGCGGTCTCGACGCCGTTGAACCAATTTTGATCGCTGCCGGCAGCATCTCGGAACCTTGACTGTCTCGATCCGACGGTGGAGACCGCAAAAGGCCCTTTAGGAAAGAGGATATAAGCCATGAGGGAGTCGCTACTGTCCCCAGTACAGAAACTCTGAGTTTGCTATCTCGTGCGGAGAAGCACAATGGTCGACGACGCCTCGTGGCGAATGCGGCATCCCATGCAGCCCTCACTCGCTACGCTTACCAGGGGTATTTCCGCGAACCTTACCAACGCATCGCCAGCTGCGCCTCGCTGAAACTACCCATCGAATACGGATTCGGATTATGGCGACAGTCTACCTTACCTCGCGACCAGATGCATGACCTCTGTCGTACCTGTTGGGTGGCATGACGACGACTGCGCGGCAAACACCGGCCCATACCGCCAATTAGGTGTACATGAAATCTCTCGAGTATGGAGCAACTGTCGGCGCCATTGCTCCGTTTCATGACCATCCCGTGGGACATGGCCAGTCAGTACCAGTTTTGATGTTCGGGAAGCGGTCAGTCCGGAGTTGAGGCCTTGTCGCCAGTTGGGACAGTGTTCAGAGGCCTGACATCCCGTCATGGAGACCCATTTAGCCTCACGGAAGGAACCCCTCGTCCTTGCCCATGCCAGATTTTGCGTGCACAGTTCCCTTTATCATACCAGAGCCGCATCAGCACTTGGAAAATATATCGCAAAAACCCCGGGACATCCATTACGGAATACCTGCCCATAACAGCCCAACGGGGGAATCTCGGCTAGTTACAGTCACCCTAGTAAGGCACTAACGAAGCTCCCGTCGCTCTGCAAGAACCGCCCGTGCCAACGCTGCAGGATGCCCAGCGGTCAGGCTAGGATGTTTCTCCAAGCAAGGTCCAGCCCACCAGACCGCCTAAGCCCCATGGCTTGCGACCGTGTGGTAGGCGTTTGACCGGCGTCCGACGCGCTGCCCTGCAGACTCTTTCCCCAGCCGTGGAACCAGGGACGCAGGCCGCTTCTCCATGTTGGATCATTGGACTCGCGAGATTCAGCCCCATGTCAACTCGCGCAGTGATGCTAACTAGTTGAGTCTAATATGCACTTTGGACGCTTGGGCTTTTCAATCGTCCAGGTTACCTAGGTGCGAATGAGCATTCATTCAAGCACAATGACACAAGGAACCTTCGATGATATCTCCCCGAGTGTAGGCGCAACATGTCTGTTGTACTAATAGGAACCAGCGGATCCGCTCGGCGACTGCATTCCTCATCAAGTAGATGACGAGACGTTCCCACACTAGCTTGTCCTCCAACATGGCTTCCACTCCTACCACCACTGCTCCGGTCAAGCGGGCTTGCGATAGGTACGTCGCCGTCGGTACACATTCACATGCCACACCACTAACATCATCAACTTGTAGCTGTCACAGAAGAAAAGTAAAGTGCATTGGCGAAGGCACGGCCCCTTGCAAAAACTGCGTCTCTGCTGGCCTTGCATGCACATACAATGCCATCCCACAGAAGAAAGGACCTAAAGGCAGTCGTGCCAAAGTCCTGTCCGAACTTCGCGAAACACAACGCAATGCCCAACTTGCTGCCGGATTCCCAACTGACCTTGGCTTCGATGGCCGGTCACTATCCTCGACATTCGCTCGCACGCCGGGCCTCATGCCCCCCGCTCTCGTTGAGAGTTGCATAGAATACTTCTTCGCCCATGTCTACCCCTCCGAACCCGTCTTGCACCGCCAAAGAGCGCAAGAAGCCGCCGTTGGTATGGACCGCTCCACCGAGGCGTATTGCATGGTAGTCGCACTATGCGCATACGTCATGATCCAGGCCAACCACAAACCACCCGTCAACGTCCTACCACGACCAGAGATGGCCCACATGTCAAACGTTGGCATCGGCCATGTCCTACTGGAAGAGTCCGTCCGTGTGCGACAAGGCTACGACCACCGCGAGAACCCCTCCCAGATGAGCGTGCTCACTTCATGGTTCTACTGTGGTTGCTACTTTGGACTTGCGCGCGAGAACACAGCATGGGCATACCTCCGGGAAGCCACCACACAAGCGCAACTGCTAGGCATGCACGACGAGGAGACTTACAAACACGACCCTCTGGATATCTCGCGCAAGCGCGTCCTATACTGGCTCCTCTTTATCGCCGAGAGGTACGACTTCACACCCACGCGTCTTGGTAGACACTTTGCTAATTGCCCATAGGACTTATGCCCTACACAAACACCGCCCAATCACATTATACCCCACCATCCACCCTCCTTCGCTGGACGAGGTCCCCTCCGATCGACCCATTGCCGTTGGCCTGGAACTTATGATCAACATGTTCAAGATTATCGACGACACATACATCAACCTCTGGAACCGAGTGCACAACACACATGCAAGCGCTGCATGGATTACGCAAATCCAAACCCAACTCTCCGAGGCGGTACCAGCATACTTCGAGTGCACAGAGGTCCAGGAAGTCCAGATTCGCATAACTCAACAATGGCTGCGATCGCAGACATGGCAGCTAAGTGTCTGCCAGGGTCTTGTGAGCAGCGTCTCCAACGACATCCCGCTCACATTCAAATACCCAATCGAAATCGCGAGGGACCTCCTCACAATTTCGCATCAATTCTCGCAACAAGCCATGGAGATGCACGGCGTCGGACTGGTGAGTATTATCCCGCTATTTTTCCGCATCATCATCCCCCAATTTTTGGAGATTGTCACCGCTAGAGCCCCTCCATCTCTTGCTGCAACAATCCCTGTTGTATTCGATCGCGCTAGTGCCGCACTAGGCAACGTCTATCTCTGACGTCCATGCCCTGACTAGCCAAACTGGCAGCACTGTCCCACCCACCTATACCCCTGCCACGTTTTACCCTATCTGTCACGCCAAACGTTAGCTAACAGCTCTGCAGATCGAGAAGCTATTCGACATTGCGTGTTGTCTAGCAGATGTCGTTGCATGCACATCGTTTTCGCCTGATGCATTCGCTTTGGGCCCTCGCGACTATGTATCGCGATTCCTCACTCTGATATCGACTCTTCGTGGAGGACAGACTCGATACCTCCCTCTTCTCCTCACCAAGCTCTCTGAAGTCCTCCCGAACCTTCCGCTTCCCCGGTCTCTGAACCTCCCCCAGACGGTTCCCGCTTCGACGCTCGGCTTAAATTCTACTGGCTCGGGCACACTTCCCTCCAATGTCGCCGACGACTACTCGGCAAACCCGAACGCAACGTCGCCCTCGTATCCTAACAACGATCTGATTCGTCGACTGGCCGCGCAGACTGGAGCCCAACTCCCTTTCAATACGACCCAGCATTCCATGGTCAATGTACCTACCACGCACGTAGGCGACATGTCCCTGTACGACTCCTCCCACAGTGCAGCGCATTCCCACTCTTCTAGCTCTGCTCCAAGGAGCACTTCCACGACACCAGGCCCATACGAGACTCCAATGGCACAACGGGGGTCGCAACTCGTAGGTCATCCGACCATGCAATTACCCACTTCGCACGGCCACATGCAGAGCCATCACATGGGCGTTAATGCTACAGCTTACGACCCACGGTTTTCTATTCAGAGTTACCCAGTCGACCCTATGATGTACAAGCAATAGTTTTTTTCTTTGAAGAGTAGGAATATCAACAACGGCGCAGTGGGGTTTCCTGGTCCTGACAGAGGGCCAATTTTAGATTCGGTAGCATGGTATAGCTTTTGACCATTCAAGTAACGTTCAGCTTTTACAACGGCATCGCCCTACAATCTTCAAGTGATCAAAGCTTCGAAAAGGAGCACGTGGAACACGGACGACGTTGAACCGCCATGTCACAAGATCCAAAAGCGTCATGTCGCCAGGGCTCAGCACACGAATACCGCGATTCCCGGTCATTAGCGATCTAACGAGCCACGAATGTCAATCCTCCGGTAGTTCTTCCGACGGGAAGGAGCTCATGGTGTCAGAAGCACACGTGCGGGAGGATGAGCTTGCATGCGGCACTAAGTCCACCGTGGATATTTTAAGCGATTTGACATGTGTACCATGGGTTAATCGACGCACCGGCTTGCCTCTTCAAGATGAGGTGTCAAGGGCTATCCATGTGCTGGATTACCACAGCCATGGCCCGGACGCCCTTCTCGATCTCGAAGATTACGAAAGCGTAGCCAAGAGACGAGCACTGTCATTCTGAATCCTTGGAGGTGGACAGTGATTGACTGCGGAACGAGGCGGTTAGGTCTGGGAAAGCCGGTTTTGACATGACATGGTCGCACACTATTGCGGCTGTGTAGCTTCGACGGGACCCGCAACCAGGGAAGGGTATGGCAATCCCGGCCTGTCGTTATTACAACACGAGTTCGGAATCTACCGACGCGTGCAGAATGAAGATCATGAAGCTCAAGGAGCAAGGTATGCGAACCCGGATAAATGGTTCACAAGGAAGAATAGGGTGAAGTGAGCCCTAGTCCGCCTAGCATCATGTACACGCGTTCAACTTGCTTGTGGTAAAGTCAATCGCTTATGCATAAAACAATTCCAAAATAGCGAAACATGATAGGTGTGGTGAAGCAACTTGGGCAGCCTTAGCTACACAAGACACGTCGAGCACGTTAAAACTCGCGAAACACGTCGTCATGCCACATGCCAAATCCCACGCGACTTTGCCATATGCAACAAGGTAGCGACTCATGTCCATTGGGCTGCAACAGGGCTTTCATTTTACCATCTGGGCACCAATCACACGATTCGCGTTGAGAGTGTCTCAAGCTTTATCTCTGGGGTCGGCCCGTCTAACGTCGGAGCGTTTGCTTAGGCGCTTTTCGCAAAAGTTTCCTCCGAGTGCTCAGTGACAGCCGGCCGGGGACGGGGGTGGACCATGTCGCGGTTCTGGCGCTGGAGGCGTTGATGGGACCCTGGGGATCAGGGACGGGTCAGCCTCGTGGGAAGGAAGGAAAAAGGCTTGGTCTTTTCGAGAAGAAAGTCGATTGCGCGTTCCTGTCTTGGTAACAAAGGCCATGTCCTCCAACGGCGACGGAAAGGCTTGGCGCAACGTGATCAGATGGACCGTGAACCCATGGGAAGGGTACAGGCTTAGTCTCACGAGTGAGAATGCATCGCCGTCTAAGAATGCAATCGCCGTCTTAGAGTTCGTTATCATCCGGTGGCCTTTGCCCGCCCTGGGCGACACAGACAGAGGGCATTGCGCGATTAGTCGTACGTTGCTGTCGCGTACGACACGTTAGTATTGCGAGGTTTGGGGCATAGTTTGGTACAGCGCACGCACTGGGTCTGAGACTGGCGGTTTGAGCATTAGCATTGTTGAGATTTGCTGCAATTACAGCTGGCCCAATTGCCCAACGTGGTCCTACGACGTCGTGACGCTCGACCATGGGGGTCCCATCGTTTGCAAAAAACTCTAATCCCCTACTCCTGTTGTAGCAAAGTGGCGACTATACCAACTCACTCCATGCTCCTCCCATGCACCGGTATCTTCCACCCTTTTGCATTCCTTCGTCCATGCTTTCTTTCCGGTCGGTCCGAATTCAACAGCGCTACGTTTCGCACTCCGCTGCCATCCCAGTGATGACCACGCCGAGTGATCAGGAACCGATCGCCGGGCTCTTCGAAATGGGGCACACTTCCCCTCCCTGGGCGCTTGGAGATGCAAAGGGTCTCGGCTTACGGGTTAGTCATGTGAGCATGGCAATCGTTCAGCGGACTTGCAGGTCGTCGCATCAACTATCGCGCTACTTCGCATGTAGTCGCCAAGGTTATTGTTAGCTCTCTTTACTAGAAACTAGTACCTTACTAGAGGTAACTATTAGTTATATTACTGCTGCTACCTAGCCTTTATTAAGTATTTTAAGCTAAAATTTTTAGCTTATAAACCTCTACTAATATAGATTACTATAAATATAGCTATATAAGTATGTTAAATCTTTTCTTTTATATAATATTAAGTCTAACTTTAAAAAGTTACTTTTTACTTTAGCTATACTTTAGTAGCTAATATATAAGTTTTTATTTATTTTACTTATAGCTAGTATAATAACGCTAGCTTATTTTAGTGTAGCTACACCTACTAAAAACTTTAATATAAGAAGTTTAATAATAGTTAAATATAGCTTCTCTATACTACTTACTTCTCTTTAGAGCTTTTTAATAAGCTTAATAATATAGCTATAGTTATAAGTAATTTACTTATATTATTAGCTTAAGAGCTAAATATATAAAGAGTATTTTAGGCTTAAAAGTAAGCTAAAGATATTATTACTACTATTAAGAGCTTAGGTTTTTATAAAAAATTCTAAAACCTAGTAGAATTAAAATAACGTTTTTAGCTAGATTAAATAGATAACCTTAGCCTTAGCTTTGCTGAAATTTGCTTAGCTGACTAAGATGCATGCAGACTCTGATTGGCGGGTAAAGAGGCCGCTGACTCGTACTCGGTTGGCTTGTGCGGCACATGAAATCCCAGGCGGTGGTAGTTGTGCATCCCCGGATGCTCCCATTCGCTCTCTGGTTAGCTGCACAAATTATTATTGTTCAATATTATACAGATATGGAATGGAACGCACGGCATGCAGCGGTAAGATGCGATGCGACATTCCTGCTTGCGCTACGACAACGGAACGGAGTCTCATTTCGCAATCTACCCAGATATCATCTGATCCATAGCGACATCGGGACGGATGCTAATTGCTTCACTTCACTCCCATTGGCGCGGAGTCTTCCTTGAACCGCTGATTCAGCTTCGCTGCCCGGGCAGAAAAGATCCGTAGTATGTCCTTGCAAGCACACTACGAGTTGCTTTTCCAAGGTTGCTGCACGCCATTGTGCGTCTTGCAGCGGCATACCTCAGCACGGCTTGAATTTCGGGACGTCGTGTGGCTGGCATGTGCATGCACCGTTGCACCGGACGCGCGCGCCGTCGCTGCGCAAGGCTGCAAACGTCCAGCGTTGCACTTGAAAAAGGTCTTGTGATCCTGGTCTTTGACGGTTCGTGGTATCAATCGTGACGACGCCTTTTGCTTTTGAGCCTTGCGTTGTCGAGAACGCCTGACCCAATCATATCCGGCATGGTCAACTCGATCCTCGCGTACTTCAAAAGCCGCGGCTGGGGATGCGCATCGCGATCGCAAAGGCTGCAGTTGGGAATAGGGAATCGTATCCCGAGGCTTTCGTGATCATCATATTGCAGCCAGTAATTGCAGCCACGAACCAACCTTGCCGTCCAATCGCCACGCATATGTGGTGTCAAAAATAAGCAGAAATACATCGTAATCGTTCTTTGCGCTCGAATGCGAGTGGTGATCTACTGCAATCGGTGTGCCACAAGCGCAGCTCCGTTCCCTAGGATTCGGAAGCGCGGATCGCCTTCTCCCGTTCAGGGTCTCATCGATACACGCCAGTAAAGCCTCTGGATCCTTCACCTTCCTGGCTGTTATGCGCTGAGCCGAATCTTGTCCAAGCGATGGAGGTGCGGAAACGTTATGCTCTGATCGGTGTACTCCGAATAAGAATCTCTGCATCCGGATTATCGTTTCTGGATTAGCTGCTGCGAGTCGCCAGCCGAGTGATGTGGCTGTGTGCCGGGTCATGTAATCTACGCTGCATACCTAGGTATTCAGAGCCAAACACGACTTCACTCCTACACATGTCCTCGGGAATGCGATGCCGTCCATAGATCCTGCCTGGATGCTACCGGACGATCTTACTCTACTTTGAGTAATCCTTTGACAATGGTAGCATACGAGCAGGGTAATCATTGGACCATCGGCAAGATCGCCCGTCGAGTTCATGCACATATGGTAGCATTCGCTCTCTGGTATAGTTATTTCTTTTCGAGACTGACACTGGGTAGAGCAATAGTCTGTTGAGCCCAGATTGTAGCAAGCGTACATTCAGCTACAGGTGATGCGCATATTAACACATTCTAGATTCCAATCCTCCAGCTTCAAGTCTGACATCAAATTCGCTCTCGAATCCCGAAGCCAATCAACGCAAACCCACGAGAGGCGTCGTGTGTATATACCGATAAATCCACTACACCGTTCACGTCCAAAAAGCCAAGTTGCCAAATTCCTCCTCCTGCAAGTCGCTGTCGTCATCACGGTCTCGCCTATGCTATGCATCTCAATATTCTCAATTTAACCCCCCCTAGACCACCACCTACGCCAGATGTTTAATCCTTTTCCCGACCCTGCATCACCGTTACATTCTGCTGGGATTTCATTTCTGCTGGGATACATTCCGTCTCCCCGCCTGCACGCTTCCGCGGAGACTACAATCTGTGTACTCCTAGTTGCATTATATGCAGAACGGGACGAGGCTTGAACGTGGCAGAACTCTAGCGTCATGCAGAGACGGCTGATGCACGGTTCAGAGGGATGGAGGGTGGTGAGAGATGTAATAACGAAGTACCTTCGACACCCCGCTGGTCTCCTGTACTGAGCCAACTGATCTTTCAGCCTCAACTCCCAAGGTCACACCAAATATAAACACAGCCACATGCTTCTTACTCAGCAACTACTCTACAGCCCTCATACGCGATTCTGGTAACGCCACTTTAGATGTACTATTTCTCGCCCATCTCCACTTATCACAGTCGCTTTTATCCG